ATTGAACACAGTCCCCACGTGACCACATCACACCTTACTTTCCTCTGCCCGCCCTGTCCCTGCCCTGACACTGATTCCCCAGCCCTTGCCACCCAGCCTGTTCACCCTCTACTGCCGGTGCAGAGGCAGAGACACTCCCTCTTTAGTGCAAACTAAGGCTTCTGGCACCCCAACTCTTCCAAGGCAATGAGAGTTTGTGCTTAACTCTACGTGTCCAGGCCCCACTCAGGGAATTCCATCCACTCCGCTGATGCCGGCAGGCAGCCAGGCATCCCCTTCAGCCCCACTCTCTCGGCTCCTCTCCCACCCCTCCGCTGAGTTCTCTGCAGCATTGTGGAGCCACAGCGCCTCCAAGTGGCCTACAGTCTACAATCTCATGGATTCATACCTTCTGACGCGATATGCTCAAATTGTCCAAATCAGAAACAGAGATGCCCCCACTCCTGCCACCCCCACCCTCTAACACACCCTCTCCATGCTTTCCCAAAGAGTCCATTTCGGGTTGATTTTCTAATCCACCCTTCGCCAGTGGAGTCAGAGGACACATGAGCCAACATTTTGATTATGAAATAAACAATTGTTACATAGTTGCAAATAATGTGTTAAGATGGTAGAGACCAGCCAGAATGATAAAGGCCATACAATTAAACAGCGTGATGATATCAAGGAGACCCAGCCTGGAAACCCTATATTCCACAGCTAATCCTGGTTAATTATACTCATGTGTCTTTGTATGTTGTATTTAGATTCATTATTACTAAATTTTAGATAGTGCATTTTACAAAAGATTTCTAGATTTTAAAAATTTACTTCTAAATTATAAAAATTTGAAATGAATAACACTGCCAGCTGTAATCAAACAGATTCCATTGGTTCTCACATTTGCTATCACTACGCAGAAGTGACTCTGATCTCTGACCAGGAAATAGTTAGTGGTTAATAATATCCCTCATATTAATAATAGTAATATTCCAGAACGCTATATAAGCAGGAATTAACATACATTTTATAACATCAAAGAATATTCATTATATATTTAATTAATACTTGGCTTTTCCTATGAAAATAATAAAGATGTGGTATAGTACAATGCTGGGGAATGTCATGGTAAGAAGTGAAGAGGAAAGCAGCGTGAGCCCATTCTTGACTGATGAGCAGAGTCTGGCTGTTTCTTGGGAGACAGAGGTCCTTCCAGGCCATGCAAATACTGAGCACAAATGCAGAGAATGCAAAGGCTGCAGAGTTTTAGGAAATATTCAAAGAGATGTTTGGTCACAGAAGGGAATGGATCTGGGTGGTGAGTGTCAGAAAGAGATACAATGGAAGCAGAATGTATCTTTGGGGAAATGGGAGAGCACTTTATCTGTTTACCGTCAGCAGTGAAATGAATTCTTCTGTTTTGAGACTTGAGATCTAAGTCCAGAAGGAAGACATTGGAACCAGTTCCAGGGCCCTCCCACGGGGCAACAGGCTATGTGGCGATGACCATCCTAGACTGGCCCTGGGGTGATGCCAGTTGTTACAAGGCCTTCCTGGATGTTTTCTAGCAATTGAAAACTTTGACAGGTTATGTTGCAGAGAACACAATTTTTTATCATCTGGTAGCTCTACTTCTATTTTTTCATAATCTTTAATCACGTTCTCCTCAAATTTCTCCAAACCAAATCTCAATTTCTTCTCCCTTAATTATATAAAGCAAACCCTTGAGATTTTACCTTCTATACTACACATCTGTCGAACAATCCTGACACCAAAATGAATTTCCTTTTCTGAAAAGGAGAGTGCCAGCTACTGTATCATTATAGTGTACAGCATCCGACAAAGAAGATAATTTTGCTGTGAACCTCCTGAAACAGCAGCATCCTCTGAGCAGATCCTCCTGGCCTTGTTTCCTCCAGCCTTTCTCACAGCTGTCTGGTCTGAGACTGCCGTACACGGAAGCAGAGAGATTAGTGCACAGAGTTCCAGTGACTCTGCCAGGCTGTGCCAAGCTGCTGGCACAGAGATACAGGGCCGAGTCCCCCAACTCCAAGGCACTCACATTCATCTCAGAGTGATAGTCACGGAACTGGCGCCCTGAGAATCGATGAGGGAAGTTTCCTTCTGATGTCCTTAACTCATTAGCATATTTGAAGATAAACTGAGGCCCCTGACCAGGGGCCTGTTGGTACCAGGACACACTAGTGTGCCCAGAGATAGGAGAGCATCTCAGAGTCACTTGCTGTCCTCTGGTTTTGATCAGGTGTGTCGGACTTTGGGTGACTCCAGTGTCCACTGGGCCTGTGGGAAAAGGAGATGGAGGATGAGCCAGGAGACAGCCTGGAGGCCCTCCCTGAGGTAAAGTGGAGGACACAGGGGTGGGAAAGCTGAGAATGGGGCTGCTGTCCAGTGCACAGGACTCACCTGCTCCCAGGAGACAAAGCAGCGCCCAGCAGAGGAGCCCGGGGCCCATGGCACAGTGGGGCAGGCAGCACTGCACCTGACGCAGGGCTTGATCCTCCTGGGGAAGAGCTGAGTGAGTTCTGGGCCTTGATTTTGCTGATGCAAGGAGTATCTTGTGATGTCACTGTCCTGTGTCCTCCCCCTACAGGCTTCCTGAGTCCAGTGCTCCCCACAACCCAAACTCTCTCCCTGTCCTACAGAGCAGAAGGGATGGGTGAAGGCAGAAGCTTCTGTGATGAGACAGTTGCTCCTCTGCCTACACTGCCCCAGCTCCCAGGCTGCCCCATCACCCTCATCCTCCTCCCACCTAGTGCTGCGGTGCTCCATGCTGAAACTCACACACTGCCCATCAGCAGAGGGTGAAGAGCCTGTGATTAAACCTTCCTGTTCCAGCTCTTCCTGGCTGTCCTAAGGTCATCTCTCTGACGCCAGATTCAACCAAATTTTCTGGTTCTATTTTTTCGTCTTCAGATAACATTTCCAGCCCCTCCCTTGAGTGGCCAGTGATACGAAGTCCCCAAGATTTAGTCTATCTGATCAGATCCAAAGCAGACCTGGGTTGTCTGTAAATTAAGAGTACAGATTCCCCAGAAATAACACTAGGGCTTTATCAGCTCACAGAACAGATCTAGCCAGCCAGTTTGGGATTCAGCACCCTCAAGGCCATCTTATGCATAGTGATCTGGATAATTTATGTTAATTTCTCCAGATCCACCCTGCCTTCAGAGGCTGACCCCAGTGTATTATGTTAACTGGCTCCCTTCTTCTCTAACTCCAGAGTGAGTTTGGCTAATGGGAGACAATGTCAGGAGAGCAGACGGAGGTAGGGTCACCACTTGTTCTGATTTGTCTATGCCCTGGTTCTCCTCTTGCTTCGTTATTTTATATTGGTTACTCTTCCCTACCAAAGGCCATAGCACCTTATAGGCAGCCTTGCCTTAAAGCTACAGTACCAGATGCTTTGGGATCCACATCCTCTCCTACTAATTTCAGGCCAATGTGAGTAAGAGCCACAGATTCTGCTATTCCTAGGCCACTTCTACTTCTCTTACTGGGTTCCCTTAACCCTGCGACACCTTTGCAAATACTCCTTTTGTCCCGCCTTGATATATCCAGGACCACAACTAATAGAAACAGCAATGGAAAAGCGAGTCTGGGATATTTTATTTTGCCTTAAGAGTTAACACAATTTCTAACATTCTGCCATTAGAAGTAATAAGATTTCTAACATCCTGCAATGAGCGTTGCTAAAAGAGTCAGGAGACCCATGAGAAACATGCATATGAAAATAAACCATGTGACAGTGGACATAGAATCCAAAGAGATTCCAGCAGAGACTCATGGTGCACCCTCACCTACTCTGACCTATCCCCGTAAAAGATGGGAGTCCTATACAAATAGATGCTTGTATTCTGTACCGTCCAATTTAGAAATGCATCATATAAAATAAGAATAAGACAGGAACACACTCATGACCACATAAAATATGGAGAATGTGAGATGTGCTTCTTGCTGAGATATACAACAGCCAAATTTAGTAGCAAAATGAGCTGGACTGATAAGAGGCTAAGACACAACCGAGGATCAATGGCTGAAAGAAAGCTATAGACAAAGAAAAAAATGCTCACTCGCTGTTGAAGTCATACCAAGAACCATGAACTGTTATCAATTTAATAATCTGAGAAATTGGGCGTTCATCGGTCTCACATATTAGCCTTTCATTTTGGTTTTCAGCAGATTGGCCAATTGGTGATTTTTTTTCTGCCAAGCAAGCAGCCCACTCCTCTTTTTGCGAGGGGGGTCCTGGGTGACCCAGCACTCCCCTCTTGGCAGTCTCACAGGGGGACATTGGGCACAGAAGAGACATATGGGGGTTCTCTGTACGTGGGGCGTGTATTTCCTGTGAAACCTAGCTATGGTTCTCCCAGTCCTTCAGTTAATGGATCCCAACACAAGAAGTCTTGCACCGGCATATGGGATACTCCCTGGGGATGCTAAAGAGGACTACAGGCTAAAGGAAAATGAAATGCGTGTTCTATATTATTTTATAATATTTTACAAGAAAAACAAGTTAGGGGACTCACGGATTCTAATCCAAGTCACAGTGATGGTAAGAAGTTCCTTCCTTCATCTATCCTCAGTGGAACTCAAACAGGTACTTAAGGAAGAGGCTTACAATCTTTTTTATAATTCTACTAGCTGATTATTTTCAGGTCTAATGGCAGAGTTTGTTGCATCTATTAACATTTTCCCTAAGTGGATTGTTCACTTGTGTGTTTGTAACTTTATAAAGAAAAAATCGGACTTTCTTGTCCTCCAGAGAACACATGCTTGGTATCCAAAGGAACCAAAACCAAGGTGATGTTATGTGTACTATATGGGAATCCCCAGATCACTCAAGCAGGCCAAAGCTTCCCAGTTGCTTTCTGCTTTTTTCTTCTCCCTTGAACCGTTTCTTTGCACAATTCCCAGAATATTCCAAATTGAGGAAAATAGCGTTACGTTGTTTGCATGTACACATCCCCACTACAGTGATAGACACCAGCTCACTCTAAGTTTCATGCTTCAGGGCACACATAGAATGAGATCCCATTGCTGGGAAGTCTGGGAAGAGCTTCATAAAGGGCAGCTTTTTCTTCTGGTTGAGACAGGGCCTTCCGTAAGGAGTACCCACCTCCAACCTGTGGCTGCCCTTTTGGTGCAGAGAGCAGCTGGCTGTACAGGGCTGTGGATGCACTGCCGCACAGGTGCAGAGAAGTCTGGCTGGTGCTGGTGGATGCCAGGCTTAGGGGGAAATGCTCAGGCTTGTTTCCAGAGACACTGTACCCTTCTGTGACATCAACTTTGGTCCTGCTGCCACCACTACCTGAATAACGGATCAATTTCAGCCTCTGTCCTGGGTCTTGTCGATATCAGAACATTGAATAATGGTTCCTAACCTGAGCACATTCCAGGATCATCTCTTTTCCTGTCTGTATAATGTAGTATCTTGGTGTCTGGGTGATCCCAGCATCAACAGAGTCTGCTGGAGAGGCAGACGGAAAGTGAAGACAAGACTTAAGAAGTAGGGGGACTCTTCAGAGGGAAGGGGAAAAAAGGCTTGGAGCCCAGACATTGCAAACCCATGACAGGGTTTTGCAGCTGTTTCCAGGACTCATATGCTCCCAGGAGACAAAGGGTCATGCAGAAGAGTTTGGGGTTCATGACAGGGTCAGAGTGAGGAGGGGCTTTCCCAACTGAGTGCCCTGATCCTCAGGACTGTGAGCTGGGGCTTGGAGGCCCCTCTCTAGGGAACAGTCTGGTGGGCCTGTGGTGTCATCCCCCATGCCTTCGGAGTCCAGCTGGTCCAGGGCGTTCTGACTGGTCTCAGGCAGGATCCACCTTGTCTCATGAAGGCTGTTGCCCGCCGAGGCCTGCAGGGAAGATAGGGTGCAGCAGAGACACACTGGGCTTAGGGTACAGCCCGCCCCTCGCTGCCCTATGTTCCTTTGGGGCAGTTGCTCCTCTGTCTGCACCTGCCCCTGACACCAAGGCAGCTGGCCAAAATTCTTCAACTGTGGATCTCATTAAAGGTTAGAGGTATTTCCTGAATCTTGCATAGCTGTAGGTAGCCTAGCAATAACTGTAAACTGTTGCAACATTTGCATAATATTGAATCCCAGCCTTAATTTTTCTTAACCCTTCTCCTCCTAGGCTGCTCTCCCAGGCTGTCCCCAGAGCCTCTTAGATCCCAGTGGACCACAGTGCCATCTTGTGGCCAATAAGTTAAGTTTCATCATTGCTTCTGCAATGGCCCAAGGGATGCTGGGAAGTGTCTGCAGAGTGAGCTGGGAGACTATTCTAGAAGTACTATCCTGCAGGTTTTATGAGCAACCTCCCTAAACCCTGATTCCAACACTGGTTCTAACCCTGACTATTGCTTTACTCAAAGCTTAATATCCCACCCTTATTCAAAATAACTCTTATCACATAGCAGCCATTAGAGTCTAATTGATATTTTCTCCCTTAAAACTATCATATAAAGGGGGGGGGATAGAATGGGAGGAATAGAAGAAAATTGTATTTACTCTAAAGTAGGAAGAACATACAGGAATTGAAGTGCATAGTTATTTCATTTCCATTACCAAAGATGACATACATGTCCCCCAAGACAAGTCAATGTTACCATGAAAATAAAGATTAGCAGAAGATTGGGAAGATAATGAGATTACCTTCAAGATAGCATCAAATATGTATTAATGAAAAGTAAAATTTGAATGTAAAAAGTAGGATCCCTTACAGGCAACAAGTAATCTTGAAGGGAGCAGTATCCAAGGTAGAAAATGAAGATGGATAATGAAGACCAGCAAAGGGCCTTCCACAGAAAAATCTGATTAACGTGTACAATGCACATCTGCTGATCTGAACAGCAGACATGCAAGCAATGATTCTGGAAGAGGCAGAGGAGCGTTGTGAGATGAGGATGCAAAATAGTATCATAAGGAAGCAAGGAGAGAGAGGAGGAGGTTTGTGAGCAGGAAGGAGGCGATTGTGCCACGCTGTGGTTAAGCTGCTGGCACAGAAGTACGTGGTTGAGTCCCCCTGCTCTGTGCATTGGATCTTCAGAGTGGAGACGGATCCCTCAGGCCTTGTTGCAGAGAACCGACCACTGCGCAGCCCTGAGTCATCTACTGCACCCGTGCCTTGGAAGTAAATTAGAAACTCTAGGCCCTGCCCCAGGTTCTGTCGGTACCAGTAAAGGACAGCATGACCTGAAATTGGATCACACCTGAGCGCTACATCCTTTCCCTTCTCTGTGACCTTGTTACTGGGGGACTGGGAGACTCCAGCACCTGTGTGATCTGTGGAGACACAAGTTGAAAACAGAATGAAGAAAGCAGTTGTACTCATCTCACACATACACACACTCACACACACACACACACACAATGAGGCTGGTTGGTGTCTGAGGACTCACCTGCCCCTAGGAGGCACAGGGCAGCCCAGCAGAGGAGCCTGGTGCCCATGGCAGAGTCAGGGCAGGATGGGAGCTTTGACAGATCAGGGTCATTGTGAGCAGGAGCAGAGGAAGAGGGACGTCCCTGTCCCCACAGAGCAGTTCCCACAGTGACATCACTTCCTCTCTCAATCCCCACAGTCTCAGGAACACAGGATTTATATTAGAACACACTTAGATGACTGCTTTAGATATTTATTAGCTCCTTTTAAACAACATAAATGCATCGGTCTTCACTTTGTTTTCCAGAGCTGTCTGGAGTTGGAGGCCTCATGCTGCATCTCTGAGTTCATCTCCTTACCCCACAGCCGCTCCTCTGTCTGCTGGGCATGTTCTCTAGGATGTGCCATCAGCGTCCCCAACACAAGGCACCAAGGGGCGAGCTCATTGTCTTTTCTGCAAGTCAGGGTCCCCTGTACCATCCCATTCGTGCCCCAGCCTCCTCCATTCCCCCAAGTCACACGTGCCCAACAGGACCGCCCCATCACATGGGTTCCCTCACAAGCCGCACCTCATGCCTTTCTTCTGGGACTGCTTCCCACCTTTGTTGGCTATAATTCAAAAAAGATAACTTATTGGAAAACTCATAGTCTTTTTTTTTTTTTATTTTTCCACTTGTAAATATATTTTCCTCCATCTCAGTATTTAATGAATGGGGATCATAATTCTCACTAAATGGTTATTTTTGATCCTCTTTCTTGACTTTCATTGATCTTTTCAGTCTATTCCACCAGGAGAGATTTATCTTTTCTTTGGGACTGCTTTTAGAATCTTCTCTTTGTCACTTATGTTCCACAATCTCACTATAATATAAACATTTATCTTATTTCATATTCACTTGAATTCTTGAAACTGAGAATTTAGGTCCTGAAACACCTCTGGAAAATTCTCAGCTAGTGTCTCATCATAATCACTTATTCCCTCTACTTTCTTTTTCTGAAACTTCAATTATCTATAAGAAAAATTGGAAATATATGTTTATATAATATATAATTTTTAATTATATATTTATTTATATATTATACATATAAATATATATAACATATTTTTATATTATACATATAAAAATATGTTATATATATTTATATGTATAATATATATTATATTAATTATAATTAATATTTATATTAAATCAATTATATTTATATTAAATTAATTATAATCAATAATTATGTTAAATATAAATTTTATAAATATAAATAATATATATTATATATAAATAAACATATAATTAAAAATTATATATTCTACTATGCTGGAAACCATCCGTAAGCTCTCTCTAAGGTCACATATTTAATATTCAGTGCCCCATTCTATGTGACTTCTTCGGCTCTGTCCTTGACATCACTAATAATCTCTTAGAAGCATTTCATCTTTTCTTCATTTCCATTTTGTTTTCAGTGATAATCTTAATCATTTCTATATTGAATTTGATTATTTTTTAATGTTACCTTGATGGTTTCTGACAGTCTCCTTTTTCTTGTTCACATTTCAATTCCCTTTAAATATAGTTATACAGACTTTCATGTATTTTAATGGTAAAAATTTCTTGTTTTCATACACTTCAATTGCTAATTGTTTCTGCTCACTTGTCTTCAGTGGTTCTTGTTTTAATAGTCTTAACAGTAGAAGCATATTTATCTGACATTAATCTATGGCACTCAAGAGAGGCCTGCATTGAGAGTGAAGAACTTCAAGGCTCCATAGTTTTTCCAACTGTCTCCAGTCTTACTACCAAATTCATGGGGCCAAGAATTGTCTGTTGCACTGTGATTGCTAAACACTCTCATGGTTTGGGTTCCTGGGGAACATACTCTCAGGACAGCCACAATGTACCCTCTAGAACACAATTCTGATTTTCTCTTACTTTCTCCACAAATTAGCAACTACAAGGCTGTTCCCATCATGTTCTTCCAAGAGAAAACAATATAAATATATTTTTAAAATCCTAAATCTACAAATGTGCCCTCTTTGGGGTTTTGCTTTTGTTCCTAACCCAAACCTTTAAGAAATAGCTTAGATATTAGAATTATATACAGAAAGTGTACCCTCATTCAGCTTGAAGAACACATCATATTTTAAATTGGAAATTCCCAGACTGACCAACTGGCTTGCACAGTGCATGGTCCTGTGCTTGTTCAACAAGTGAGTGCCCCTTGATGAGCTCATAGCACAGCGTCTCAGGCAAAGTTAACTCTAGATCTCTGCCAGGGTACAATGAATCGAGTGTGTTCCTGTTATTGGTTCATTCACCCACTCATCACTCACTCACCTGTCACTCACTCGTCCAGTCTCTGTGAAATGAATGAGGACTCCCTGCCTGCCAGGCATTGCTGGTGGTGAATGCAACAAGATCAGCCTTCACCTTCATGAAGTTTAAAATTAAGTGGAGCACAAAAGGAGAAAGACAAGTTGCAAGGAAAAATTGCAACTGTGCTGAACTTTACTAACAGGCACATGATTCCATGAGAGCTTATGAGAGGGAAATAGAAATTTGACCTCAGCTGAGAGTTGAGGGGGTGCTTCCAGTAGGAGGGCTGATCATGCTGAGATCAGAAGTGCAGGTAGAAGCTGACCACTGCAGAAAGGAAGGCACTAGCCCAGGGTGGAGGAAATGGCCTTTGAGGTCTCTGTGATGGGAAGGAAGGAGGCACAGAAGAGGCAGCCTCATGGCTGCAGTAGAAAGGGGAGGGGAGGTGCTGCGGAGAGGCCCAACAAGGCCCTTCGGGGGGGCCTGCTCAGATGGGAAAGGTGGGCCACAGATAAGACCATGTGAGAGTGGGGACTGGGGGAAACCCTGGAGAGAGGAAGCAATGTGGTCCCCAGAGAGAGAGATGGGAGTCTAGACGGATTTGAAATACAAATCCTGTTCCATCCTGGGGGCCTCGTACTCAGGATGATGAGCAGAAAAGGAAGAGCTGCGAAAGCCCTGGTCCCATCCCAAAAAGATAGCTTGGAGGAAAGACCAGAGAGCAAAAACAGAGACATCTGAGGCTCTGGGACCAGTCCAGGCCTGGCTGGGATTGCCTGCAGAGGCACCTGGCACAGACTGAGGCTCACACTGCCCAGGACCCATTGGGCTTCCAAGATTCCCAGTGCTGAGAACTCTGCCAAGGACATGATTGAGTCCGGGTCTTGAAATCCACACAGGGGCCCTGCCCAGGACTTACCTGCACACAGGAGAGAAAAGGGCACACAGGAGAGAAAAGGCCACACAGCACAGGAGCCTGATGCTCATGGCAGGTGCTACAGGATGGAGGGGTCTTCTGGGTCTGTGTGTTGATTAAAGGGGAACAGGGCTCTCAAGGAAGTCATCCTGAGACCTCATTCTCTCTGCCTGGTCCCCAGAACCTTCCTGTCAAGAGAGGCCATGCCCGTTCCCCAGAGGGTCAAATCCAAAATAAATGCACCACTGAAGTTTTGATGGGAAGAATGCGTCTTGACATAAGCCTTACAAGTTTTTCTTGACCTTGATGCAAACAGCTTGTAATTCAATGTAAATTTTATTCCTGCAATGATATAATTCCCCATTAATATTCTGGTGTTAGTTATCTATGTATTGCTGTAGTCTAGAGTCTTAGGGAAACTCCTCATGTCTTCCTGGTGTTTTTGACTCCTGTGTCCCAAATACTCCTTCAAGTATCCTTTTCTAATTTGCTTAATTGACCATAATCCTGTTAAAGTCCTGTGTCTATATTGGTTTTCTCTGTTATCAAGTTTCCAAATCCCAGGGGCAGGTTCATCAACATTGGAGGAGTCGTTTTGCTCTGTTTCTTGTCAATTCACTGACAGAAGGGACTCCTGATAAGCCCAGCTGGGCACCTTCACCTCCATCCAGAGTTCTTGCTTTCTGTTCCTGGGGTGAGACCACAGCAGGCAGAACCACCTCACGCTGCTGACTGCCCTCTCTGTGTGGACGATGGTGGCCACCCAGCACTGCTGAAGACTGTGAACACAAAGGTGTCCTGATGAGTGAGGGACTTGGCAAGAGGCAGCAGACTTCAAGGTAAGGAAGAACGCTCTGGTTTTATCTGAGGTGTCATGCCTCACAGGGGATATCCCTTCGTGCAGGATTCCGGCCATTAATTTAGTAATAAATGAAAACGAGCTCAAAAACTGTATCTTTGGTGTTCAGAGCCCCGCATTCAGAAGGACCCCACGCTTGGTTTATCACTCTGCTGTCATGATTTTTAAATTCTTAATAGTGTTTGAACAAAGGACCTGCCAGTAAGTCATGTTGCTGGTTGTAAATACACGATTTTCATACTCTGCTCACCTCCCCCTCTGCTGGTTTCCTTTCAGCACAAGGCATGACCAAGGTCTGGTCATTCAGCATCTGTGGGGCTTAGTAGTGAAGGACACAGAAATTAAAGTCACAGCTAAGGGCCACCTGGTGCTGAAAGCCACAGCTGGGATCCAACAAGCCCATTAGTGGGTTTCACGTGTGTGCCCAGGACTCCTGTGGTTCAAGAGACAGAAACACAGCTCAGGATCCTGGTGCCCAGGACAGGGCCAGAACAGGAAGATAAATTCTAGCTGAAGGCTCAGGATTTATAAGTTAAACACCTGGGGTTAAGGCAAAAAGAACGCTTCTCCCATTGTAACATCATCTTTCAACGAAGTCGCCATTAGCATGGTTTGCTCGACCTCAGCATGCTCAGCGTGTGAACACAAAACCAGCTGCATGCGTGTCCTACGAGAACTCAAAATAATTTCCTTGGAGATAACTTTTATCAGGATATCATTATTAAATAATTTGAGTTAATGAATGGAGAAGAAAAGAAATGAATGAAAATGAATAAATAAATTTTGTTGAATCAGTTTCTACCAACTGAAAAGACCTTTTGAGGTTACTTCGGTACAACGTCCATTTCCAGATAGAATTGTCCCTACTATGGATCAAGGTAGCTCTCATGGTTTCAACCCCTTCTAAAACCATAAAACCTCCCAGAAACTCCTCCCTGCTTTGATTATTTTGCTATGTATTCAAGAGGATTAATCGGTAGGGGTTTTAAATTAACATTAAAAATATTTGTGAACAAAACTACTCTCCAGTGATACAAGTTACATCATTGGTTTTCTGGGACCAAGATAGGCATTGCAGAGGTGTTTAAGGGAACTTTCTGGGTGATGGAGATATTCTACATTTTAA